AGAGGCTGGCTAACATCAGAACTGCCTTCAGGAACCTGTATAAGGAATCCTTCAGAACCTTGTATACCACATATGTAAGACCAATCCTGGAGTATGCGGCCCCAGCATGGAGCCCGTACCTTGTCAAGCACAAGACGAAGCTTGAAAAAGTTCAGAGGTATGCCACTAGGCTAGTCCCAGAACTAAGAGGCATGAGTTACGAGGAAAGGCTGCGTGAAATGCACCTCACGACACTAGAAGACAGAAGAGTAAGGGGAGACATGATCACTACCTACAAAATTCTCAGAGGAATTGACAGGGTAGATAAAGATAAACTGTTTAACACGGGTGGTACGCGAACAAGGGGACACAGGTGGAAACTGAGTACCCAAATGAGCCACAGGGACGTTAGAAAGAACTTTTTCAGTGTCAGAGTAGTTAACAGATGGAATGCATTAGGCAGTGATGTGGTGGAGGCTGACTCCATACACAGTTTCAAATGTAGATATGATAGAGCCCAGTAGGCTCAGGAATCTGTACATCAGTTGATTGACAGTTGAGAGGCGGGACCAAAGAGCCAGAGCTCAACCCCCGCAAGCACAAATAGGTGAGTACACACACTCTGTAGCGCACATTCACTTCGGGAACGTAAACAACATCAGATGTTGGCGCACTGTGAGGTCGTTCCATATTCTGCCGCCCCGGAGTTGAGGGCGCCCAAGTCGACCCCAGACCTGCTCGAGTCGTTGTGTCTCGAGGCTTTGTTGATCAGTTATTTGATCTGAGGCTCATTATCTCCCTAGTGGCCTCGACGTGGACAGATAGTCGCGTTGTCCCGGACAAATAGCCTGTAATTACCTAAGAATATGTGTATGCCTGTGTATAATAGTCTGTGTATGTATATACGTTATTATCGTATTGAAACCCGTTCTCCGACTAGGCTTGTTGCAGATGTGGCGTTCCCCAAAGCGCAATTATAAATTTTAACGTATTGCGCACTTAAATAGGTTTGTACTAATGCGTATATTAACATTATTATACAATTATTTATATGTATAGTTAGGCGAAAGTTAAGTTAGGTGCTTAGGTTCTGTTGGCGATTATTTATATTTGTCGAATGTGAGTGAAGCAGTTACAGCGTGGCGGTTCGAACAGAGGACGTGAGGGAAGCACTATTCGAGAAACGCTATGCGTGCTAGTGGCTGTTCAAGAATGTAAAATTAACTCAATTTCTATGTTCTCTGTTAATCCCCAATGTACCTTCTTGTATATAAATAAATAAATAAATAAGTTTTCGAACGTCATCAGTTGTGCGAGTCGTGAGGTGTGTAAATCATTGTCACGACAGAAAACATCACAGCAACCAACACAGAAAACGCGCAAGAAAAGTTAGCCCCGCACTAATGCAAACTCAGGAAGCCGCACTCGCCACAGTAACACTGTGTACTCTGCAACCCGTTCTCGCAATTGCTTGTAGTCAATATCTTGATTATGAATAAGTGCGTATGTGACATACTAATTTATTGTGAATATATAAGATTACGTAGTCACCTAGTTGTACTCACCAAGTTGTGCTTGCGGGGGTTGAACTTTGTCTCTTTGGTCCCGCCTCTCAACTGTCAATCAACTGGTGTACAGATTTCTGAGCCTACTGGGCTCTATCATTTGTGTACTCATCATGTGTACTCACCTATTTGTGCTTGCGGGGGTTGAGCTCTGGCTCTTTGGTCCCTCAGCGGTCAATCAACTGATGTAAAGGGTCCTGAGCCTACTGGGCTCTATCATATCTACACACATCATATCTGTGTGTTTTCAAAAATATGTACCCAAAAATAGCACGTCATTGTTTAGAGAATGCACAATGTTAGAGCAAGAACAGAGCCAGAGGCAGCCTTGAAGTCAAAATAATCAGTGTCTTTGAATGAATTGAATTTACATTGTTCTGTTGTCTAAGTGGCTACAAAGTTACAAAGATAGAGGTTCAAAGTTATTACAAAGTTTACATTTTATTCCTTCGCGCCAAACTGTGTCAACTGCTTGTTCTACGTCTTTTGTAATATTTTTAATATCTGTTTTACTTAATTAATGTCAAAGTAATTAGTAATGTTGAGTCTCGTGGAGAGGCACAAACCAAACACAACTGTAAGCAGGTCATTGTCTTCCATATAACGTTTGAGTCTGCTATTGATTAAACGTTCAGAAAGTTTACCTAGTATCTCGAGTAGACCTATTGGTCTGCAATTTTTCGGGGTCAGTATGAGATTTTCCTGGTTTTGGAATGGAGATAACTGTGACTGATCTGAAAGCTGAAAGGGAAGAGGGAAGTATCCAGGGACGAGAGAATCGCTGTATAGGTTAGAGCAGTAATAAGGGAATCAGGTAATTGTTGACCAATTACATTACTCATTACTTTGACAATCAGGTAATTGCTTGATGAGGATGCCAGATTTTCCAGGGGGTTCTTTGACGATGTGTCCATAAGAGCCACCGTGACTTCAGCCGTAGTATGGGGTTATCGTAGTATGGGGTTAGAAGAGTTTTTCTTATGTTTTCTTTCATGCCAGGAATGGGACTGACTATTGGTTTAGGGGGAACTGTGGAAGATGGACATTTCGGTGGTGTACAATTTTCTATACTATATGATTTGTATTTATTTATTTATTTATATATACAGGAGTTGTTACGTTCTTGTGCAGCCACCGGCACGCGTAGCGTTTCGAGCAAGTCCTTAATCCTAATTTTTCCCCGGAATACGACCCGCCAAATCGTTTAACAACCAGGTACCCATTTTACTTCTGGGTTAAACAGAGGCTACAGTTAAGGAGTATAATAACTAGAAAAGATGGAGTATAATAAGAGTATGGCTAGAGGAATGCGAACGCTAGGAGAAGGTATGATTGGTCTTAATATTGATAGTGGGATGCTGAGGGATAATATTGATGGTTGATGGTTGGAAGTACGCTGTGAAAAAGGAGTTTTGAGAGTATGTCAACTGGGGAGTGTCCATTTCATATTGCGAGATGTATGGCAACCTGGGGCTGTAACTTTTGCAACAATGATGTCCTGATTTGGGTTGTGAACACGTTGGTGTGGAATTAGTGTGAACATGATGCGTGTTGGTGTTGTGGAGGCGGTCGCCTAGGGATTAATGGCGACCGACCACGAGTGATATAAGATGGGTATCACTGGCAAGAGCTCACCTTGAGCTGTAGTCTTCTGGGAGGGCAGCTGAAGCGATGCTTGGCGTCTCAGGGAAGGTAGAATGAAGGCTGGTGAGGTCACAATATATAAATCAGCCAGTAGATGAGTATCCCAAATGCGAGTGGGTGGAGTAGCCGGTACATGCTTCTTCAGGAACGGTTCTTCTCTGTGCTTGCCCTCCAGGCATGCGTGAGGAAGCAGCACACGGTCACCGTCCACCAATCAGGGCTCAGCTCTGCATAAGATATGAAATGCTCCCTCTGGCGGGCACTTTGAATGTGGTTCCCTCCACATTGTTTTGATTGTGATGTGTTGGTGTCTGAGAACACATATGCATATAATATATATTTATTTGCTATGTGAATTGGAAATGGCTGGACTGTTCGGATGTTGGAGTAGTGTTGAGATTTGATCGATCACGTCCTCGTCTGATATTACCGTAAGATTTTAAATATAGTATCGTGCCTACGGCTCTTACTTTTTTGTTCTTTCGCTCCTCCCCTGATTCTACAGCTTATGTAGATTCTATGTCAATTTCGCGAGCCGCTACCATTTTCTAGTACGATGATTATTGTCCTGTGGTAAAGTGTGCATCAAAATGCGACGTTCTATTAGGAGGACGGGTTGAAGCCTCATCCCGAGCTTCCAGTTATTCCTCATCTGATCCCTCGCTCTTCCTCTCTAAGATGCACCAAACTTTTTTCACTGAACCTCAATTCCGTAGTAAGAAAGTAGCACGGTCTTAGCAACCTTCATTTAGATTGATAGGACTTAAGACCATTAAATAAAACTGTAACCAGTATCATCAGAAAAAACTGTCATTATAGAACCTAAAGGGTTAGGGCTCCGGATTCGTAAATACTCTGTACATTTGTATTCCTTTACATTAAAACTAAATATTTTGTTCAGTATATACAACTGAACAATTATTTGCAACAACATGTCTTTAACATACACATTATTTATAGTGCTGCAATTGCATAAAAAATCTGTCTTATTCTCTTTGTTGATTTCAATCGAATTTTAATGGAAATCGATAATTAAGTACTTGTGTATAAATCTAACCATTTTACTTGAACTGACAGGTACAGCGACATCCTCGCTTTCTGCAGAATAGGCAGTTATTATGTCGCACTGTCTGATAGAGTATTTTGTAATAGATTTACATATGGGATCAGATCTAAATACATCATAACTGTTATACTGGTGTTTTCAAACCTTTGAGAGTCTGTGATTTCTTTCCTATCAGGCTTACAAGTTTAGAGCAATATAGTCTTAACAACAGAGATTGGAATATCATAGTCTAGTTCAACTCTGTCTTTCTTTTATGTTAATTCGGCTGCAATGTCTGTATCACGATGAGTTATATATACTTTTTCCTCTATTGGTATATATACAAATGAGATTCTAAACCCCTTATTCTGTGCAGCGAGTAGGATATTTTTAATTGTTATAATGAGAATCTTGGCTGCCAATCTTGCAAGTTAAATTTCTATGCTTGGAGAATAGATCTTGAATCACATAAAATTTGTCTTTGATTCTGTATTTTTAGTGTACTTGTTGAACTAGCTATAGTGCGGTTAGTTATATTTGTGTAAAAGTTCAACCAGTTGTTTAACCTAGCACCAATAATCTGTGCATTAATTTTATTTCTGTAAAACCTGCAGACTGCTGCAGTGCGTCCTGTTGACGACTGGCCTGAGCCGCCACTGTAAACAATTTCAAACATAACGTTTCCAAACAATTTTGTCCGTCGTTTGCTATTGGCAGGAACAAGGTTTCTGGTACTTAATTTATAACTCGATAAAAATAACTTAGAGTTTATTAACCATTTCATTTATTTGCATAATAAATACAAAATACAGATGTTAGCTACAGCATCAGTATACAGAGGTAAGTATGTAATGCATTACATTTTCATAAACACAAGGGAAATATACATGCCATAAATAGTTCATCTTCTCTATGTAAATATACGGAGTTAATTTTTGTATCATTATGTCCAGGACTAAAGTATACAAGCAAGTGCTGTGATCTTAATAACCCTAGAGAGGCTGCTCAGCCTCTTTAGGATTAAGACCACAGCACTTGCATGTACTCTTTAGTCCTGGACATAATGACACATAGTCCTTAAGTGTCATTAAGGTATATACCTTAAATAGTTCTCAAGCCCAACACCAAATGTCAAAAGCAATAGATCAATATTCGCCGGTAAACATACTCAGCCTCTCTATTAAAATACAGTGAAATTTTCTTTTAGACCTGGACAATATTCAGGACTAAGTATGGGACAAAATATACGTGCTGGTTAGTCAATAAGCACTTGTATTGCTTCAGCCTAACCCCCCAGAATTTGGTGGATCACAGGCCCAACACCAAAACATGTCTAGAAGACATAGGGTATATACACCAGGAAGTATATATATCCCCTGCTTCACGCTGTATATACACTGAGTTAAATTTAGTCCTGAATTATGCTCAGGACTAAACTATACTTCCAGACTGGTCAGTATGATAGTGTCTGGACCTTTAATAACCCTTCAGAAGTTGTTAGGCTAATGCCCAACAATAAATTAAATAAGAATACTTTCACTGATTCTTGGTTTGAACTTGGCCTTATTGCCTATCAACCTCAGGAGGGTTATTAAGGCCACCATAACAGTTTACTGACTAACTAGCAAGTATACTTTAGTCCTAAACATAGTCCAGGATGAAAGTAAACTCTTAGTGTATATGAACCGAGAAGCGGGGTATTTCTCTTGGTGTATACATCCCTGTATTGAGTTCTTGAGTGTCTGGAGTCAACATCACACACTGACAGCATCATTATGGTGTCAACCACACATTGATAACACCACTATGGTGTCACCGTCACACATTGATAACACTACTATGGTGTCACCGTCACACATTGATAACACCACTATGGTGTCACCGTCACACATTGATAACACTACTATGGTGTCACCGTCACACATTGATAACACCACTATGGTGTCACCGTCACACATTGATAACACCACTATGGTGTCACCGTCACACATTGATAACACCACTATGGTGTCGCCACCACAGACAACAGCAATACATACAAGTATAACCTGACTCATTGCTCCTGTAAACAAAAAAATAATTACTTTAAAGCAAATTATCTTAAAATGAAGTAATCAAAGCCAAATAAACAAGGACCAACACCTTGTTTATAAATTAGAACGTCACTCATCACAATAACAAATGCCACAACATCCATAGTAAACTATTACATCAACTTGACACTACCGAAGCATTCAGACTTAGTCAGCCTGACTTGACTCCAGGATTCCAACGTCTGACTGTTAGCAACAGTTAACGAGAGAACTTGCATCGACCCATAAATCAGGTACTCAATAAAGCGTTACAATCTTAAGTTAAAGCATTTAATATCGAATAACCTTATTAGTTTTTCTTAAATATGGCACCTTAACACACCAAGGTGCTTTAATACGTCCAACAACACAACAATGCATCACAAACGCGAGCACGCGCGCGTATACACACACACACACACACAGACCTTCGTGTTAGAAAATGGCACACAATAAATTACAATAAATTATAACAACCAACTGTGTGGGACGGCGACTGTTCAAATGTGTCAGTTTAAGAGGAGAAGAATCTATAAACCAGGAGGAACGAAAACGGAACGAGCAGGAGGTGAATAAAATACGACAAATAAAGAGGGGTAACTTTAAACAGAACTGTCTATTGTCAAACTTTTACGAGACGTGACCACATCAACTGAATCCCGTGACCAATCTATGAGAACGTTTATGAGTGGGCAGAAGCACAGTTACTGTTCATTACTCGTCATTCAGGTTTGAGTGCATGAAGGCACAATTAATTGCTTCTTGAACAATAACGGTCGTAAATTTCGCCAAATTGCAAACCAGTTCTGTAGGTAAGACAGTTGTAATTTTAAATTCCTTCAGGATGAATAGTGTTCCTGAAGATAATAAAGAATCAAGGCGTATCTAAGTTAAAGGTAATTGTCAGAATAAAGCACCAAGCCAGTGTGACTATAACATACACTTCATATACACCTGGAAGGGATATGAGGACGGAGAGTAGAAACAGTTCGCAACCACTTGGACCTTCAGGGGCTGAAACCAACCATGCAATAAGCGAGGCTGTCGCTGTACCGATCAGTCCAAGTGGAAGAACATAAGCGAACTTTTAGGCACTAACAGTTGTCCAGAGAGTTGGAGCGTCCGTAAGATCTTTTAAGATATTATAAAATAGCCAAATCAACTAAGAATATCTAATATTATAAGGTCCGAACAAAATATTGTTTAAATTATGTCTAAACTGATAATTTGTTAATGGACTGAAGATAAAAGACGTAAACAAAAGTATATAATCATGCAGTTCTTCCAACATAATGGCGGTCAAATTTATAATGAAACTGGCTCAATTTTAAAACTGACAACAGAAGCAGACGAGATGAAAAGATAATTCTTTACAGATGTGAGGAGAATGTAAACAGTTAACACATTCCGACTCGTCGTAGAAGTAGCAGGACGTTGTAAAAATCTTACAGCTGATACAGGATCACGAAATATACGGAGCTACTTGAGAAATCCTGATTCTAAAAAAGATAACGAGATCCTCATAAAACCTCAAACACAGGTATTTCCAGAGGTCCTCGAGCTGCGAAACAGCGGCCACTGGAAGATTTGACGTTTATAGAGGTCCTCCTCTACAGCTGCTCCGGGAAGACTTAGCCACTGAGGTCCTCCACCACTCCTGCCTCTGGAGAACATGTCGTCCACAGATCCTCCTGACGCCCAACAGCCGCCGAAGGAAGACTTGGTGTGCAGAGTGCAGCGTCATTAGGTGCGGTAGGGGATACCGCCGTAGATGAAAGGACTGTTTTTCTTGTTGAGGCGGTCAGAGTCGGCCGGGCCCTGCAATGTGGGGCGAATCGGGTAACAGGAGAAGCAATGGCCATCATAATAAAATGAATACCATCTATGTAATATAAATTCTTCCTAAGAAGAATATTAAAACAAATACATCGCTGGTAATGGATACATGCAAACTCTGTGCACAATATAAAACAAATATATATTAAACATCCAATGAAAGGATCATAATATTTTGGACAAAAAAATTAAAAGTTCTTCCGAATTAATACACTTCATATACACAATGAAATCACAATAAAATGATATATATCTATAAAAAAATAATTGGAGCAGGACAGCAGCATCGAACTAACGAAAGGCTCATATCTGGGCTTACCAAGTACGCAGGTTCGATACTGCCATCCAACTCCAAATATTTTCTAATAACCTTAATAAAATAATAAAAAATGGTCCTTAGACAGAATGAATTAATTCAGAATTGTAATCCTACTCCAGGTACCTTTGTTAAATTAAAGCATAGTAGTTTGTGCAGCAGCAGTAGCCGTCTGTGACACTCCAAGAATTTTTAGTAGAATTATCAGCTTCATTAGTGTGCTGTTAATTATAGTTAGGTTGTGAATAGAAGTTATGTTGATTATTTAAGTTATTGTACTGTTGGCAGTTATTATCCTGCAAATTGTGATAGTTTGTGTTGTTAGCAGTTATTTTGCTGGTGTTATCAGTCGTGGCAGTTGTGTTGTTAATGGTAGAAATTGTACCCTTGTTAATGGTGGTAGTTATTGAGTTGTTAATATAGGTAGTTTTTGTGTTTTTAATGATGAATTATTATGGTTATGTTAATGGCAGTAGTTATCGATGTTAATTATGGTAGTTATTGTATTGTTAATAGTGGTAGTTATTTTGTTAATAGTGGTAGTTATTTTGTTAATAGTGGTAGTTATTTTGTTAATGGTGGAAGTTATCGCGGTGCAGTGGTTATTAGTGATAATTATTGCGGTATTGTTCACGGTGACAGTTATTGCCACCGTCAACAATACAATAATTATTGATATTGTGTTATATCGCAATACAGATAGTTATTGCCGTGTGTTATTAATGGTGATACTGTATTAGTTTGTTAACGATGGTAGTTATTTTAAGGTGATAGTTATTGTAGTGGTGTTATTAAAGTTGTAGTTATTGTAGTGGTGTTATTAAAGTTGTAGTTATTGTAGCGGTGTTATAGGTGATAGCAGTTGTTACATTTTAGATTCAAAGCCTAATTTGTGTATGATTTATACAAATCTTGAAAATAATTTGCTGTTCAAATGAACAGATGTACAGCCATATGAACATACAGCTTACAATTAGAACAATGAAACTTTCATTGGCTAAACAATATAACAACAAACAATTATAATGATTGTTTTACCCTATTAAGTAACTAAATACAAAAGTTCTATAACATTATAAAGAAAAAACAGCTTAAAATAGCCTGCGCAAATGAAAGGTTATATAAATAAATGTTTCATATACAATCAAATTCAAAACTGCACAAAAATAAATTTTGCATTCATAAATAATGATTAGTTTTATAAATTTGAAAAGTTTTATTAGTTATATTACTTGTTTTAATAAATGTTAGCAAATACAGTAATGTTATCAGCAATGATAACAACAAAACCAGTATCATTAACTCCAGCGTCACTAATTACAACAGGAGCTGCAGATGAACCATTAACGTCAGTGCCCATGATGATAACAGTGTTAGTAACAGCTATTGCAGAAGTAAAATTATCAGTAGTGGTTGGAGTATCAGCAGCAGCAGGAGGAGGAGCAGTATAGCAGTAAAAGCAGGATCAACAGTAATAGCAGCAGCAGCTGCTGCAACAGCATTAGCAAAAGTAAACCAACAACAGCCGCAACAGCACATGCCATAGTAGAAGCAACAGGAGCAATGGTAGCAACATAGATGCCAATGTTGAAAGGGTGCGCGTGTGTCAAACCTTGGTGACGTCAGATAGGACAGCATGGGCGGCGCGGCACCTGTTGCCCAGCGCCCTGGTCATCGTCTCCCCCGCCACCACCAGCTCGGCGTCCAGTGCCGTCACCAGGCTGTCCATCATCGTCATCTGCAACATCACCACTCCGGTCACCTGAGTGCTCTCTCATCTCACTGCAGCCCGTTCTCGCTGTCGTACTAAAATGCCTTTATCCTAACCTACCAGAGGACCCACGAACAGAAAACGGGACATTGTTAAATTTGCGAGACGCTACCATTTTCTAGGACGACAGTTTTTTTTTTGCCTTTTGTATACGTCAAAATGCGACGCGCATTTTGACGTATAGGAGGATGGGTTGCTCACTGCGCCCTCTGGCCCGAGCTCAATCTCTCTCTCTCCCTTACCTGGGCGCGCTCTTCCCCTGGCATGGATTTCTCTCATATCCCTAGTTCACCTGGGCCGTTTCTCGATGTATAATTACTCTGAATTTACCTTAGTCCTGGGCTGTCTTCAGTAAACTTGCTGGTTGGATTGGTTTGGTGTTGATCGTAACCTATGGATTGGCCGTAACCTATGGATGGTGATTCAGGCATCAACAACAGGTTACTGACCAACCAGCAAGAATACTCTAGTCCTGAACATAGTCCAGGGCTATAGGAAAACCAGTGTACTGTATATTTACCTAAAAGCATGTTTCACCTTTCTGTGAATAACCATCCATGTTATTTTGTGAATAACACTGTGGTGCTTGGTCAGTAAACTATTGTGATGGTCTTAATGACCCTCCAAATGTTGATGGGTCTTAAGCCCAACACCAACCTAAATTCTTGTACTTATCGCTCCTATGATTGTAACTTCGCAAGAGTCTATTTGTATGATGTTACGTGGTAACTGATTACATGTATCTGCAAACTTATTTCGACTGAAAGGAGTCCGTGGGGCAGAGGTGACACACTCGCCCCGCGCTTAGCGAAGGATTTGGCCTGGCAATTCCTATCCTGGACGGGGATGATTTACTAGGCGCCAATCCTTAAATGTACACCTCTGTTCACCCACCAGTAATTGGGTACCTGCTTGTTAAACTATTAACAACCAGGTATTCCACAACTATCATATGCCAGGGAAACTAGTGGGTAAGGCTTAACATGAGCTATAGGAAGGAAAAACTCTGAACCTCTTAACATGAGTCAGCAGTCGTCTGTTCCTGAACTTACCTGTGTAAAAAAACAATAGTTGTGTTTTCCTTAAGACAATGGATGATTGTTTGGGATTTTACAAAAACAGATTTTTTTTTTGACAAAAGAACACTCCAAATCATGTTCTTTAAACGTTAATGGAAACTAATTGAGTCTCCCCCTCAACCCAACATATTCAAAGAGACACTAAATAATGTTCATTTTAAAGAAACTAAACAAACAATTTAAAGGTGTACTACTACTACTACTAATAACAAAATATTTGTAAGAAGGTACAATGGGTTGGTGAGATTAAATAAGCTGGTATTTTTACATTCATGCAAAGCCACTAACACGTATAGCGTTTCGGGCAGGTCTTTACTCTAACATATCAGGCAGGATGAGAGGGTACAGACGGGAGACATCTCCCGTCACGCAGGGTGCAGTCGCACCTCCACAGATCTTCAGTATCAGCTCTTGATACTGGTAATGGCTCAAAAGGGCCACCACTTACGGGTTATTCCTGCCCGTGCCACCTTTTGGGTAGCTTAATCTTCATCAATCGAGAGGGTACATTGTAGCAAGTTCTTATATCAACAGATAACTACAACATAAGTTGACAGAGGTGATTACACTAGTAAGGATATATAGTGTGAGTATACCTTACTAGAGTATGTGATCATACACTAGTAAGGATATATATCTTAAGTGAATAAATCCACAAGGGCCGTGATGAGGGTTCGAACTGACGTCCAGGATGATTTCAGACGCGTCTTAGCCGATTGCGCCACGACATGGTTAAAAGAATTGCAACCTGGAGTGTCAATGGTAGAGGTTATGTTATTGATGACTACATATTGGTGTCTGTCACTGAGATGCTAACGAATATAGTCCAGAGCAAGGCCTCTGATACCATAGTGGTGAAATGTAAGTAAGAGGGAGTTATCTTGAGGTTATCTTGAGATGATTTTGGGGCTTAGCGTCCCCGCCGCCCGGTCCTCGACCAGGCCTCCACCCCCAGGAAGCAGCCCGTAGCAGCTGTCTAACTCCCAGGTACCTATTTACTGCTAGGTAACAGGGACATCAGGGTGAAAGAAACATTTTGCCCATTTGTCTCAGCCTCCACCGGGGATCGAACCCGGAACCTCAGGATTACGAATCCGATGCGCTGTCCACCCAGCTGTCAGGCGCCCACAGTTTAGCTATAAATAACTAAATCAAATAATACTTTAAAAGGGGAAACTAATTAAAGATATTTTTAGGGGGCACTAAATAAACATATATTTTAATGGGCACAAAATAAACCTTATACTGCGGGAAATTCTATGAGAAATACCACGTCAGGCTTAATGAAGATTAACGATGCAGGATCATGCGAGTTACACAACGGGGCGGAGACATTATCGTTGAGCAAACTTGCCTGTCTTCCCCCCCCCAAAAAATTTAAAATTTATTACTTTTAACGCATTATAAACAGTACTTGATCAGCTCCACTGAACTCCAACCCGCGGCAGGCTGAGTGAGCTACGTCACCCGCGCCTATATTTCATAATCGTTGTATATCATGTTTGGGACGGAGCCTCGCATATTAGGACGATCAACATGCTGAATCATTCAAGGGTCGTTTGCTCTTTCTATTTTTGCATGACACCGCGTCTTCACGCTTGTATCTATATTCTTGCCTTACCACAGGGTAAGTTGTGGGTCCTCAGTAAGGGGGCATGTTGTGGGATCCTCAGTATGGGTATTTCGTGGGTCCTCAGTATGGGGTATGTTGTGGTTCTTCAGTATGGAGTATGCTGTGGATATTCAAAATGAGGGCTTGTTGTGGGTCCTCAGTATATGGTGCATAAATTCCACTCAAAAAAGGTAAGGCTACTTCTCCTGAAGAGGACGGTATAACATACAATACCATGAGAGTAATTGCTGAGCTGCAAATAGCCCTTTGCTAGAATTGTTTAATTAAAGTCTAAGGCAGGGTGTCTTACCTGGCCGCTGGACACAGGGACTCATAATACCTATACCCAAGCCTAATTCACATACATTCAGACCAGTCTCTGACATTATGCATGTGTAAAGTTCTTGAGAGGATTATATTCGACAGACTAATGGTTTAAATTAAGCCCCACCTTGTTTCTAACTTGTATGGTTTCCTTCCTGGAAGAAGCAAACAAACTTACTTTGCTGAATATTTCATTAGAGAGGGACCAAGCACTCAGGCGGCAGTTATTGACCTCCAAACTGCTTTTGATACAGCAAACAGAAATAATCTTAGAACAACTAACCTGTTTTGGAGTTAAATGAAGACTGTTGACATGGCTCAATGGGTACCTGAGTAACAGAACCGCCTCAGTCCTTCTCAAGGGGGTCAAAGTAAACATTGTGCACCCTTTGAATTGGGTACACCCGAGGGTGGAGTGCTAATCCCAACACTGTTCACTGTTCTGATGCACAAATTAACAATTGATATTCCCACACTACCTGACGAAGCCGTCATCTGTTATGCCGATGACATATGCATTATTTCAAATACTCAAACTAGAATGCAAGCTGCACTTGATTCACTCGCTGCTAAAAGCATTGAATGTGGTCTTGTTATCTCTGTAACTAAATCCAGAGTTCTCCATCCCCAAGAGAAAACTCATTTCCCTGTAACTTTCAAGGTCAACAACCAGAACATTGACACGTGTAGGCAGCACAAATAGCTTGGAGTTGGTGTCAACAGTGACATTGTAAACGATCTACACCGTAGGTTAAAAGAAAGATTTAAACCACTGAAAACACTTACTGGTAAGAATATTGGTATCAATATTAAATATGCTAGACTATTCTATATGATGATCTCTAGTTGATTATCATGCCTTGCACCTAATTAACTTCCCCGCCTCTGTGTTGGATAAACTTGAAGTAGTACAGAATGAAGCCTGGATAATATCACACGTATGTATGATGGTATCCAGTATGGATACCATCATACATACGTATGGATACTATCACACGTAAATATAACACATCATAATAACACAGACATTGCAGCCAAATTAGCGTGCAACAAAGATGAAGTTGAATTAGACCTAGGTATCCCCATATATATATATATATATATATATATATATATATATATATATATATATATATATATATATATATATATATATATATATATATATATATATTATTACTTGTTGCTGGATGGTCTATCTTACCAAAAAACTTACTTACTTGTGGACCTGATTAACCCTCGAGAAGGTGACAAGTCCAACACAAACCAAACTAATTTATCTTCAATCAAGAACAAACGTGAAATGTATTGACTTATTGTTTATTTACTTAATGTTTGAGATGATTTGAATGTTATAAGTGGCGTTGTGTTGCTGAAGTGCTCGACACATGAAAGTAGTTTTGGACCTGAGTGACCAAGAGTAGTGGCGAGGTTGTGTAGTTAAGAGGTGTATCAACTTACCGTTTCCATGATGTACTTCCTGACCATCTTGATCCTGGCGAGCCCGTGGGCCTGGCGCACCACCTGGTCGCACAGAGAGTCAGCACACGTGTCGAAGGTGCTGAAGTGCCGATCCAGACGGTACAGCTGCCCGTCCTCCTCCTCCTGTGTCCACTCCATCTGTGGGTCTCTCAATAGCTTAGCCGTGTCCCGCTGAGGGAGAACGATCTTGGCGGTGTTTAACTGGAGGAGGCGGTCTTCAACTGTGCCTTCCTGAAGCGGTGGATCCCGGTTGGAGGTGTCCGTTTTGGGTGAGGTCGGATGGTGAATGGAAGGGACACTAGCGGCCCACAGGCCGCCGGACATGAGAGCGGACACCACCACCAGTTGGAGTCCTCGGACACACACCATTATCTGTTGGGACATTCTGAGATTAGACTTCATCCACACTATTGTACCAATCATACAAATATTAATAATAATCACAAATACAAGTAATAAAGAGACGTTGATTGCTAACATTAAGTCGATCACGGTAGATGCTTCCAATCACTGTACATCTCCCAGTAATCTGTATATAAACTGCTGTAACTATAACAACATCCGCCTCAAAACTTCATATATATAATGCTACAAATGAACGGAAATCTCCATTTAATCCCATATAACTATTAATTAAATAAATAAACATGCACATTAACATGTCTAAATGACTAGTACACAACTTTGTGTCATCCTGGCGAGGACGAGGTCATGAAGGGGGGGGGGGAGGGGGTGGGGGTCAAGGTCGGTCCCTGCCCACTTTGTAGGGAGGTTTAGGGGTCAGCTCACACACGAAGAGTAAGGGGAGACATGATAACCACCTACAAAATTCTCAGGGGAATTGACAGAGTGGACAAAGACAAACTCTTCAGCATGGGTGGGACACGAACAAGGGGACACAAGTGGAAACTTAGTACCCAGATGAGATACAGAGACGTTAGAAAGAATTTTTTCATTATCAGAGTATTTAATAAATGGAATGCATTAGGCAGTGATGTGGTGGAGGCTGACTCCATACACAGTTTCAAATGTAGATATGATAGAGCCCAGTAGGCTCAGGAATCTGTACACCAGTTGATTGACAGTTGAGAGGCGGGACCAAAGAGACAAAGCTCAACCCCCGCAAGCACAATTAGGTGAGTACACCCTCCAAAGTCGGTGATGAAATATTCGGAGCAGAGTCCATAGATTATTTTTCATATGTTCATTTATTATAAATGAATTATATTTTATAATAGGGGTACCACCTCTGGTGCAATTGAAGGGACCCACAACCTTGAAGAAGAAAATAAAGAGTGTTCAGAGAAGACCTTGTGGATTCACACTGAACACTTTAATCTTTTTTTCTCCTACCACCCATATTCTTTTTTATTAATTTTGTTTTATTTTATTTTATTGCATTGATACAGTTTACAGAGAACACACACACACATATAACAATATAACAATCAGTGTTCGAAGACCTCGTCCAGCTCCTCGGAGGTTGGGTGCGTACCCAGGATACAGCACGCATTTCCCCTCTGAACTGCGACACTGAGGCGCTGGAACATGAAACTTGCCGCTCTTGAGTCTCTAGTTTTCCCAATGAGGTCCTCGCTCACCTCCTTTAGGAACTTAAGTGCACATTTACCCCAGGCGCCCAGAGTCTCAGAGCCTATCGGCACGAACCTGTAACAACGTTCTAGGTCCCTGTATTTTATAATTATATTATATTTATACAATATAATATATAGATATAATAAATATTGAAAAGGAAAACAGTCTTATCCATTACTAATTACTTCATGAAATAATAAGCAAATGTTACATGCACAGAGTGGATAATAATATTGTTTAAGTCGAAGCATAAACTCCAGTGCATACTGGGCGCTTATATATAATTGTTTTTTCGTCATCAATTACGAAACTACAATTCTCAAATTCAAACTAGTCATCAACTCACTAAAGCACCGGTTTTCAAGACAAGCAGCAAGCAAAATTAAGCAACACCGCCACCAAGCCCAACAATGCACCTGCACCATTAAGACTCTGACAATGCACCTGCACCATTAAGACTCTGACAATGCACCTGCAGCGAACAACCAATGCCAACCAGCACAAAAAAAAAATCATTCCTATCATATGAGGGAGCACAGCATATATTACCATACATCACAATGCCACTACGCATCAATTCGTATCACATTACCGAAAACACTATCAGAGCCAAAGTGGTTGGGCCACTCACTATACCCTGTACTCCCTCATCTCCACTATATATCCCAATACCTGTTCAAGTTTACCTGTAGCCTTATCCCCCTCCCCCACCTTACCAGCTCTATGGTCACCTGAAGAAGAGGAGGAGGAAGTTGGCGATCTCCTGGTGGAGCGCGTAAACTCCTGAGAGTTTAAATGAACAAATCCACAAGGGCCGTGACGAGGGTTCGAACCTACGTCCGAGAGGTTCCCCAGACGCTGCCTAATCGACTGAATTTCTGTGTGTCCTGAGAGTTTACTTCAGTCCTGGACTAAAGTGGTTGCCTTAATAACCCTATAGAGATTAATGGACCTTAAGCCTAACACAAACCAATCCAAACAAAGAATATATTCACCGAGAAGTATACTACATTTTACACTGAGTTTACTTTAGTCGTGGACCATGTCCAAGATTATAGTATACGTGCTGATTGGTCAGTAAGCATTTCTATGGCCTTAATAACCTTCATGGGATTGATAGGCTTAAACCCCAACACAAAAGCAAACTACACAAATCTTCAATTAATATTTTTATTACAGCCTATTGTCTATCAAACAATCCATTCATGAGATACAAGTAGGCATAAATAAACTGGGATTCTCTCGGACGTAGATTCGAACCCTCGTGGATTTGTTTATTTGATGCATCACGCTATTGTGATTTCAGTGTGTAATCAAGTAGGTATAATACTGCAAGTAATGAAGGTTCCACTATACCTCGTAGGAGCACATATATAAATGTTGGCATACGCGCTGATACATCCTAATATGTGAGATAAGCTCCACCCACGGTTATCTCAGCTAAACCTGGAGGTCCACAGTTTTACATTAAGCTTTATCTTTAACTGGGAGGAGTTAAGTGCAATCAGTGATGCCAGAGAGTCGCTTCTAATTAATGTGTCAACACCGGGTACACGCACTCGTTGGAGTGCAATTGAATGTGAACATATCCAAGCATATAGAGACAGCTCCATCCTTGATGTTCAGCAAGAAATGTCCATGTAATTTAATTGAAACTTTAACTGAGAACGGCTGAAAACATCAAACTGGCTAGATTAAATGAGGCACAAAGATGACATTAAAAATAACATTAAAAATAGTGTGAAGGTTTTATGGCACACAGACCAGTTTTATTTATCTTGCAGACACTATAGTAACATGAAATACTGATAATCCGAGATGTGGAAGTATTTTATAGTCAACAATAACCTGATTAAACACACTATCAGCTTAGAGGAGTATCCCCTCAATCACAAAAAATAGACACAGCATTCTCCTCTGATGCGACGTGTCTAGCTAAATACAATTTTAATTTACTGCGTACTAAGCGAGGCGAGGCTGACAGTATCTTGAAAGGAGGACAAATGAACAGGAGAAGCTTTATTAGAACCAACGTGTTTGGCAGCATAATATAAGGGCGCCACAGCGGTGCCCTTATACTGCGTCATCCAGTCCAAAATTGGGTTCAATTAGTTACATAAAAAAAGGATGAAATTCGAATATTTATCTTAATTTAAGACATGTTTACCACGGCAAACATCGGTAAACTCAACTCGCTTCGCCAACTCGATCGCTGGCAGACGGCTCTAATCGCCCTTGATGGTTTAATTCCCTCTTCTGGGTTTTCTTTTTAGAACGTGAAGATTTACTACATTATATTATATTTTCTAAACTCAAAAGAGACGGAACTTGTATTTTATCAGACATTAAAACATCCACTTTCCTAATCTACATTTTCTTCTTGTGATTACAAGTATATTAAACTACTTTACCAGATATGACTCATTCACGAATATATTCCGATACGTGTCTACGTCAGCTTTTCCAGGCCTCTACTGGCTTCCTCTTTGCTGAGTTTCAAGTATTTTATTGCTACTTTTGCCAGCCTAAGCGGGTGCCCCTGTCTTCCGTCTGGGTATCTTCCAATATATTAATATGTCGGCCTTGCCGGTTGTCTCCTGATATCATAATGTGTACTCACCTAATTGTAGTTGCGGGGGTCTAGCCACGGCTCTTGGGTGCCACCTTTTAACTCTTAAACGACTGGTGTTGAGGTTCCAGGGCCTATTGGGCTCCTTCATATCGACATTTAAAAACTGTGTATAGAATCTGCCGTCACTACTTCCTTTCTTGGTGCATTCTAGGTGTGCATTATTCTAGCACTGAAAATTAATTTCTATGCTCTCTGTGGCTAATTTGGGTACTTAGTTTCCATCTGAGTCCCTTTATTCGCATATGCATGCTATATAGTCTGTCCTTGTCTGCCTATCAATTCATTTGAGTATTTTGTGTGTGGTAATCACATCTCTCCTGTTGTTCTCTTTTCCTGTGAGAAGAGGTTTAACACCTGAAGCCTTGTAGTTCATACCTCTCAGCCCTGTCTTGAAGTATACCTCTGAACTTCGTTCAGTTTCGTTTTGTGTTTATTGAGATAAGGACGCCACGTTGACGCTGTATATTCCATAAATGGTCTGACATAAACGACATACAAGATTCTGAAAGATTCTTTGTTCACATTCCTAAAGAAAGTTCTCATATTAGCCAACCTTCCGTATATGGCTTAAGATATTCTTTTGTAGTGGGCTTCTGGTGGCACGTTGGGGATAATATCATCTCCCAAGTCTTGTTCTCTGTCCAATTCTAATAGGATTTCCTCTCCTGATACCTTGTGTCTGGTCTCCAGTTCCTCGTACCCATCTTCATTACTTTTCACTTGATAGTTGAACTCAAATAGTCACTTAAAGAACCATATTTTAAATTTGTCGAAGTCCTCTTGTGTTACATGCAGTTTTCCATTGTATTTGTCTTCATAATTTTTGCATCGCCAGCAAGCTGTGTGTGGAAGGAATCTATCTCCTCAGGTAGGTCGTTCACATAGATTAGCAACAGGATCGGCCCCAGAACGTACCCTTGTGGAACGCCACTGGTAACATACCACGTCTCTAAGGTCTTTCTTCTCACTGTGACTTTGTTGTCTGCAGTAAAAGTACTCCTATACCACTGGATAATTTTCCGTGTTACTCCTGCTCGTTTCTCCATTTTGTGCACTAGTCTTATGTGGATACAGTGTCGAAGGCTTTCTGACAATCCAGGAATATATAATCCTCCCCACCCTTCTCTAGTCTGGTCTCAGTCGT